ATGTTTTCCACACTGAAACGTTGAAATAGGGGCAAAAATGCAAAAAAATGAAACGTTGGGACGTTTTGCACACTAACTATCAAACGTATGGACGTTTTGTGCTAATAAGCCTTTTCGCCCTTATTTCAACGTTTTATTGTGAAAAAGTCATTTTCACTGTTTTTCAATGTAAAATGACCAATATACCCTCATATTTAAATAAAACAAAAAATAAAAAAATAAATTGTCATTATACTCCCAAACTTTTTAAAAAGTGCAAATAAGTCCAAAAGCCTTATTAAAAGGTTTAAGCACAAAACTCCATATGTTTGACACTTATTGTGGAAAACGTTTTTATGTTTCAAACTTTTTGTACTTGGCTCAATAGCACAAAACGTCCCTACGTTTGACACTTATTGCGTAAAACATCCTTACGTTTTATTTCATTTGCATTTTCATCCTTATTTCAACATTTCATTGAGGAAAACGCCATTTTCACTATTTTTCAATGTAAAACGACCAATATACCCTCATATTTAAATAAAATAAAAATTAAAAAATAAATTACAATTATACTCCAAAACTTTTTAAAAAGTACAAATGAGTTTAAAAATCTTATCAAAACATTCAAACCATCAGCTTTCTCATCTTCCCTCAGCCTTATCCTCCCTCCACCACCTAAACTACCAGACTCCACCACCATTCAAACCATCTCACCTCCATCTACAATGCTGTGGCTGACGGTTGTGGCTAGTATTAACAGTGGTGGTTGTGGTAGAGCTGGTTCCCGGCCGACATTGACCGGAGGTTGTAGAGGGAGGTGAGATGGTTTAAATGGTGGTGGGGTCTAGTGGTTTAGGTGGTGGAGGAAGGAGGAGGAGAGAACGGGAAATTTTTTTTTTTTTTTCATTTTTAATGTTTTAGTAAAGCTTTTGGACTCATTTGCACTTTTTAAAAAGTTTGGGAGTATAATTGCAATTTTTTTATTTTTATTTTTCTTTTCATTTTTTATTTTATTTAAATATGAGGGTATATTGGTTATTTTATATTGCAAAATAGTGACGTTTTCCACAATGAAACGTTGAAATAAGGACAAAATGCAAAAGAAATGAAACGTAAGGAAGTTTTACGTAATAAGTGTCAAACGTACGGACGTTTTGTGCTATTGAGCAAAGTACAAAAAGTTTGAAACGTAAGGACGTTTTCCGCAATAAGTGTCAAACGTAGGGACGTTTTATGTTTAAACCTTTTAATAAGGCTTTTGGACTCATTTGCATTTTTTAAAAAGTATGAGAGTATAATTGCAATTTATTTTTATTTTTTTTGTTTTATTTAAATATGAGGATGTATTGGTCATTTTACATTGAAAAACAGTGAGAATGACGTTTTCCGCAATGAAACGTTAAAATAATAGCGAAAATGCAAAAAAAATGAAACGTAAGGACGTTTTGCACAATAAGTGTCAAACGTAGTGTCGTTTTGTGCCAATAAGCCTAGTTTAGAAATATTAACTTTAACTCTTCTTTCGTTCTATAGAATGCAGCGACGCAACTTGCCCTTTCTTTGAATGTTTGAAACTCTCCAATAAATCATATATAAGTTTCATTAGATAAAGATGATAATGAATTAATCATTACATAAATTACTTAAATGCACAAGAGAATAAGGAATGAGTTTAGAGAGTGAAATCTAAGTGGTATAACATGAAAATCAAATAAATTACAAGTAAACAAAAAAATATATATTCTAAATTAAGAGTCGAGAGAGTTCAGAAAGTTATGAAAGATGCATGAGAGTTATGGAAACTTGAAAGCTATGTGAAAAATTTAAATCGTCCACTTATAGGCCAAAAATGATGATATGTGAGGGAAAATAATGAAAATAAAATATGAAATTTCAAATTTTGAATCTCAATCAACAATGGTTGCGAGAGGTTCATGGAGTGATTAGATGGTAGCGATAGATCTATAGCTTTGAATTGCTACAAATCAGCAATATTATAAAAATGGCCGGTCTAATTTTGCTCACGAGCTAACCTCGTAAACAAAAAAACTATTTTTGACTCTATCCACGACTCACTCCGAAGGCGAGTTTACAAGTGGCTCGCCTTATTTGATATCCCTAACTAAAACTAAAGTTGTCAAAAAGGATCCCAAATCCCATGTCCGAGGCAACCTAATCATTTAAAAAAAGTAAAGCACAAATAAAATAGCGAAGTACTTATCTAGTAATCACTCCAACTTTTATGAAAGTCCGAGTGATTACTAGAAGAAAATTATATTGGAGGCCCTCGTATGTGTTAGGATTGGTTATATGCGACAAAGATGACAAGATATGTTGATTTACAATATGTTGAATTTTTAAAAAAAAAATCTTGTCATTGAGAGACAACAAATGATTGTACTATAATTAAGTAGATGGAAGTAATTAAACTCCAGTGATCATCTTTATTTTTTAATAAATGCTTTTATATTTTAAAACCACATCTTAATTTTAAATTATATTAAATTCTCAAAAATAGTAAAAAAAAAACAGAAACTTGAACCTGCCCTTAATATTGACAGGTCCATGAGCAAATTCGGTCTACTATAGACCGACCTCCCAAGCCGAACCCAAGATCGAAACATTAGCAAACGCGGTCGCGCAGCTGTTCTTGAATTTGCGAATCTCCGATTCTCCAGAAAATCTCCTCTGCTTGTCTTCAGAAGAATCGAAAACATGGTTTGGGGTCTATTTCCCGTCGACCCACTTCCAGGTAATCACTTAAAACAACTTTTACGATTAATTCCATCATTAGTAATTGCACATAGTAAAACGCACAAGAAAATTCATTGTTATTCACCTGGGAATTTGAACAAACACCTTGTAGTCGTTGCAGCAGAACTTTGCAGTATTTGAATCCACTCCAGTGGACGCAAAGTTTTTATATATGCGCTAATGACTAATGCATTCTTCTGTTACACTGTACAAAAAGAAAAGATTGACGTGTAAGCAGCGAAAAAGGGGCTCCTTTCTTCTATTTTTTTTTCCCGCGTGTTTGGCTAATCTTGAAAAATATACTTACTATTAAGTGTACCTATAAGTAAATATGTTAGAATAAGTAATTTTTTAATTGATCCAAATTCGAATTAAGTACTTGTTTTGACCATAATGTGAGGCTTATTTTTGAATTACGTATATTTTTTACTTAAAAGTTAGGAAAAGTAACTTATCCAAACATTTAGGACAAAGTAACTTTTTACGTATTTTTGAGGATAGTCGAACTAGCTGTTTTCGACTCCACTGAATATTTTTTTACACTGGGTTACTTGGAGTGGTGTTACTTTTAGAGTAGTAACGTTTGAGGAATTAATTATGCCTCATTATCACATAAAATGACTTGCGAAAAAGATATGCCTAGCTATGCAATGAAATGATAAATGATAATTCTATGCTCATAAGAGAAGGTCTTCACTGACTTAATTAGGTTTCCAGCAGAAGGAGATGGTGGATGAGCGGAGCACACAGATGATTTATGAATTGTGTGCAAGCATTTTATCACTTATTTTTTATTTTTTTACCACAAGCCTATTGGACAGGGTGATGAAAAATAGAAAGTGAAATGTTTTCTGCTTTTGCAATATGAAACAAGAGAAGGGTTGGTTCTCAAGCACAAACTAGTGGACTGTGAAGAGTAGTTGAAAGCTGACCTAAAAAGATTGTGGGTTACCGGCACACATACTTGCCTCTTGCATTATGTGTACACTATTTTGACACCGTTTCTCATCAATTCTAAATACTGAGTTTAGTCATATTTAAAGATGGGACAATGGGGATAATTAATGGTGGGGTTGGTTTATAATTGATCACTTATGTAGGCTTTGAGGGGTTTCTCAATTGGTCAGACTTTGAGTCTCGTGGAATTAGTCGAGATGCGAGCAAATTGGCCTGAACATCCACGGTTATCAAAAATAATAATAATAATTGATCACTTATGCAAGCTATTTTGAGCCAATTGTCTCATATGGCATACAACCACATCTATGGAACTTAGTGTTTGATCTCATTCTCTATAGCCTTTTGAAGTCTTCTCTTTTTCCGTGCACGGAAATCTAAGATCCATCCATTTGTTTTGAAATGAAATCAACCCATATCGTAGTAGAGCTATGGCCTTATCATATCAGTTATGGTTCTTGCTAATCTTGCAAGTTTTTCAGAAATTTTATTATGCCCCCGTTTGGTGCACATTATTTGTCCAAGAATGCATTTTTTTGTTTGATGTGATGAGAAATATGTGGTTGAAAGAGAAGGAAAAATTATTGATGTGATGGAAAATATTATTTTATTGAAAAATGTGTGGTTGAAAATGAGTAAAAGAATGAGAATGAAAGAAATAATGTGGCTCAAACAAGGGCTATGTTTGTAAATTATGTGGAAACTTGATTCTACTCCTATCAGTTATGTGCTATTCAGGTTCCCCCCCTCCCCCTCTTTGAAGGACATCTTTTATAAATCAAGTTGTTTTACGTGACAGGTGAAGATAAATATTATTTTTTCAGTCAAGGAACATACAAAGTGGGTAGAAAAGGTATTCTATTGCTTATACCATTTCTCTTGGTTAATTCCTTTCATTTTCCTGTCAATCAGATTGTAATGTGTCTACAAGGCGATTATTGCATTTAATGTCCTGACATTCCTTAATTGTTGTATTCCCTATCCTAGGGCAGCAACTTTACTGTTCTAGTTTATGATTTTGCATGATGTTTTGATTTTGAGGTGTGCCCAATTTGGTTGATCTTGATCTTAGGACCATTTTATCAATTTTGAGGAATTATAAATGGGACAAAGATTTAACTCTGAGGGGTTGCTCAATTGGTCAGGTCTTGAGTTTGCTCTCGAATGGTCATCAGTTCGAATCAGGGCGACTGAGGTGTGTACCCGAAAGTAAATTTCAGGCCCCGTGGGATTAGTCAAAAAAAAAAAAGGGACAAAGAGATTTTTTTGAATAAAAAGAACTTTTATTATCTACAATTTTAAGTAAGAAAGAGAATTTAAGTTGTTCACATAGTAAGATGAATTTTAACAATCTTTATGTAAAAGGCTGTTTTCACAATTTACCTTTCATAGTGCAACAAAACTGTTATTAGACTAATTATGCTTTATGGTACTGATTGTTTGGCAGTTAAAGGACAAAATAGACATAAGATCAAAGTAATGGAGTTGATGATGCCAAGATGGATGTGTGACCACACTAGAATATATAAAAGACGTGGTAGTTAGAGTATGTATTACATTGGCCTAAAGAAGTTCTGGTAAGAGCGATGTAATCGTAGCACAACAGGTTCTAGAAGAGAGAGGTAGAGAAAAAGTAAAATGGCTTGTTGTGATTGTAAGGGATTTGATTTCATTAGATCATTTGTTAAATTCATATGGCTAGTCATGGTTGCATGTAATTTGATTTTCTTTAATCTTTCAGTAGATGTAGTGATGGCCTAAATGTAGTGGGGAAAGAATTTATGCTGATGGCCTAAACTTCATGTCTTTTCTATAAATGATTGAAAACCTGGAAAGTCAATCCTTAGGAGGGTGGTTGTAAAGAACTATGTGGGTTGTTGCTGTTTTCTTTGAGATAGCTTATGCATTGAAATCATAAAATTTTGTAGTATTTTAAGCATTTCATTCACTGTGGTGAAAATGAAAAGGAACAAGTCACAGCTTACAACATTTACGACTCTGCAATTCGCGAGGGTTTTAGGTCAACTCTAGGCTTACTTGTGTGTCTGATGGAACAACTCATATTTCAGGTTCCACATCCTTCAAACTTGCTAGTTAATAATAATTTTTCTCCAAACTTCTACTCTGAAGTTCAATTTCTATGTTTATTGATGAAATGGAAAGAACCATAATCTTATAAATGACATATAATGTTGAAGTAATCAATAGAGTGCCAATAATGAAAATTTTCATGGAGTTTTCCCATCATATATTCTGGTTGTCATTGGTCTTCTTTCAATAGTTATGTGAAATGACATCGTAAAGAGGCCAAAATTTTTTCAGAACAACCATATTAAACAAATCAAGGCATTGAGTTTAACTGTGTTGTTTTCCAATGTTTTGATGTTTGTGTGGTCAGCGCTTTACACAACACATTGAGGACGCTTTACACTAAAATTGATGTAGAATCCAGAAGTTCTTTTTTCTTTTTTAAGATTGTGGCTATACTGTGCTGTTGCCATGAAGCAGGAACTTCTAAAAGTCAAATGTTTCTCTAGATATTCCTGAGATATATGTTTTACTTATCAATAACAATCCTCTTGGCAATGTAGTCCATGCATATATGGTTTGGTTTTGCAGCTTTTATCTGATTGTTATGTCAAAGATATGCCAATATTAATGGAGTTGGGTTTGATGCTCTTGCAGATATGAAACCACCACAAATTCAATTTTTCCTGATTATGCAGTTAAATATTTGATTCATTTTGTAGGTTGTGATATAATTGTAAACAAAGATAAAGGAGTTTCAAGGATCCATGCTGAAATTATCATAGATGAAATGATATCTGTAGATCTTTCACACAAGAAATCTTCAAATAATTCCTCTAAAGTCAGGATCCGAGACTGCTCTAAGTATGGAACATTCATCAACAAGAATATGAGTTCAAAGGAAAAAGTTCACGAGTTTCCACATAAAGAAACCATGCTGAAGGATGGAGACATGGTATCTTTTGGAACTGGTAATGCAACATACAGGTAATGTAGACGGAATTTTTTTGTCCTTTCAGATGTTAGGATTCCCTGGTTGAGTATTCATTTTACTCTTCATAAAATATATTTTACAATTATTTTTTTAAAATCTTATATGGTTTTAGAATTTTTGTTCTTACTATTGCGGCGTGATTAATGATTTTGAAAAAATAACGTAACAACATTATAATCGAGAATATGGGTCATCTATCTGCCAGGTTTTGTTTTGTTCCCTTCATATTTTTCATGTGCTCATCTAAGCGTACGGAAGTGAATCAACTGCAAGACAAGATATCTTCAATTGGTTAGTGATTTTCTATATTGTTTTGAGGTTTGATGAGAAGTTTGCTTTATTTTTTCTTCTAGCATTCTAGTGTAGCCCTTACAGTTGCATCATCCTTAATTTTGACCATTTAAAGACAAAGCAAACACGAATAAATCACCTCAATGATCGTATTAGTCTTATTCACACTCAATTTATATACATTTTCAATTTATATACACGGAAGTTCTGAACATGCATACTTCCATTTCCATCCAATTATATATCTTACTAAGGGCTTGTTAGATGTGGAATTCATCTATTGAACAATTTAATTTTTTATCTACTTTGATAAGAAAGTTCAAGAGGTGTACAAAATATTGGAATTGATATGGTTTGAATGTGTTCGTGTGAGGAATTTTGGAAGAACAAAATAAGCATCAATTTTGTGTCAAAAACGAAAGAATAACAAAAAATGCAAAAAGAGGTACAAAATACAACAAGAAGCTGAGCTTTTGTATTGAATGCAAAAAATAAGCTAGTAAAATGTGAAAAGTTGAAATTCTGGTAAAAAATGTTTCTGTTTTTTTTTTTTAAATATTTGCCTGAAATTTTTTTCTCCATCTGGTTCTTCATGCATCTTGCAACAGTCCCAAGGTCGCAGTTCAAAGTATCTGCAAATTACACTCTTTTGATGATTCTAAATAATTAATATGTATGCCCATGTAGGTGCTAGTTTGACTCATACGTGGACATTGCAGTGTACACATGTTCTTGTTGATGACTTCAGTTCTATTACTTGTGAGGCCATTGATTCTATAATGGCTAAAGTAGCCCTGGTCCGATGTGATTGGGTTGAGGTATCTTCACACCCATTAGCTGCAATTCATTAAGTTATTTCTTAGCTATCCTAAAGAGTGTTAAAGCTAAAATTTTACATTGTCAATGCTGTATTGTGCAGCTGTACATAGAAGACAAAAAATATGTATTGTGATGCTTTAGAGTTAATTTTTTTGTTTGCCTACTGTCAGTACTGCAATAGAGTATCTCTTGGCTCTTGTTAATGTTAACCCATGTAAGAATAAAAGGGCAAGATTGTAAATACGAGGAATGTCAACCAATTCATCTAACATCTTAAGCTTTTTGAGAGTATCTACATGGATTTATTTAAATCTTGTCTTCAACATGCTCCTTTCATGTGTAGGCTGGATTTATTTTTTCTATCAAAGCCTAACATGTGCACTTTTTTTTATAAATGGGAGGTGGCATGACTCAAACCCAGTGCAGGTCTTTTGTATGGCTTTGCTACCATATTAACCTTCATCTAACAGCTTAAGTTGTTAAAGAGGGGCTACATGTATTTATTTAGATCTTTTTTCACCAAGGATAATATTCTAATTCGACAATTTCTGAACATGCATTCAGGGCATGCTACTAGGACTATGAACATGATATTCAACTAATCTGTAGACTATGATATTCAGTTTATTGCAGGAAAAGGTATATGCACTGAAGTTCCAAGCTCCACCTCGTAAGTATTGTAGTAAATCACATCATTTGTTGGACTACTTTTTATATGCACAGTACTGGAAATATACTTTTTCATGGTGATTAGCAAAGGAAAGTCTTTTTTCTCAGTTATGCTCCAACTTTGATGTTGGAAGGGCTGTCAATCAAAGTTACAGATCCTCAATCTCGAGAACATTGTTTGAGAGGATATACCTTTTTGTTGGAACCATTACACAAGGTGATGCTTTTGAGCACTTTAAAAATTTCATGCTTTCAGCTTTCAATTTCTTTCATGTTTTTGTTGGCTTCAGAAAAAATATGGGGGCATTTGTTAATGTCTTGGTATTAATTACATGCGTGTTTACACGCACATGGATATGTACACATGCCTGCTTGCATGATTTGAGAAAACTACAATATGGATGAACCTGTTCATTCGTCTACATATATATAGGTGAGCAAGTATAGTGGTCTAATATAAAGACTTATTGTTGAAATCCCGGATGATTGAAGATGATTGACAGGGATTTTCCTTACCTAAAATAATGTTGTAATTATATTATTTGATTTATTGTCTTATTTAGGAGATTAGTGTTTGTTTCCTTTTTTTACTCCTTACATTGTATTATAAATATGATTGCTATTTTGTACATAAATCAATGAAATACAGAATTTCACGTCTGATTTCATGGTATCAGAGCCCATTATGTTCCAACGAGCGATTCGAACCCGTTAAGATTCTAAAAATAAGCACGTGAATTTCAAGATTGGCCTGCTCAAATGAGCCACCATCTTACGGGGGCGTGTTAAGGGATATATATCCCACATCGATAAATGATGTCGACACAGACCAATTAATAAAGATCTTGGACTACTTCTCTTAATAAGGTTGACCTTTTAAGATGGAATCACAATTCTTAACATGGTATCAGAGTTAGGTTCTTCAAAACCTAGAAATCAATAACTGAAATCCCAATCAACAGTAAGGGGTCGATGACCCATGAAACTCCAATCTCAGAAACAGAGGCCACCTCCCAAATAGAGGACGCCTCCATAATAGGTTCTAATGGCCCATATACCTCCTCCTTCCAACTCTCAGTCGAGAGACTAAACGGAAGGAACTATTGAGAATGTGCCCAGTCAATAAAACTTGTGATCGACGGAAAAGGGAAGATTGGTTACCTCACTGGTGAGATACCGAAACCAACCGACGCTGCACAGCTGAAAAAATGGAACTCATAAAACTCAATGGTTACGGCTCGGCTCGTGAATGCCATGAAGCCCACAATAGGAAAGACTTATCTCTTCCTCCCTACAGCGAAGGACATCTGGGATGCAGTGAAAGAGATGTATTCCGACGCGGAGGATACTTCAAAAATGTTTGAAATCAAGACCCGTCTATGGCAGACCAAGCAAGGTGAACGGGAAGTGACAGAATATTATATGGAGATGACTTCGTTGTGCCAAGAACTTGATTTAAGCGTTGAAGAAGAGTGGGCGTGCTCCGGTGATAGCGTCCGGTACAAGAAGAGGCTGGAGAATGAACGGGTTTATGAATTCTTGGCTGGGTTCAATCGAGACTTGGACGACGTCAGGGACGCATACTTGGTTGGCGACCTCTGCCCTCAACACGCGAAGTCTTCTCAAAGGTGCGAAGAGAAGAAAACCGGCGAAAGACGATGCTCAGGGACTTTGGGCCGTCTGGGAGTGAAGTCTCAGCCTTATCTACCAAAGGAATTGGGCCTAATGACATTTCGGCCCTTTTATCTAATAGAGTTGGGCCTGCTGAAATCTCTGCCCTAATATCTAAAGGAAGTGGGCCTGCTGAATTTTCAAGAAATGGACCTATACGAGGATTTGCTACTGGGCCAGGCCCAAAATTGCAAAAAGGAAGAGCCTTGTGTGAATATTGTCGTAAATCAGGACACAGAGAAGACACATGTTGGGACAAACATGGAAAACTGACCGATTGGAAACCAAGGCAAAATAATAAAAGTCGTGGATACCAAGCATCTGTTGACTATCAAACTGAAAAACCTAAGGAGTCTACTCGGGCTATTAAGTGTGTTTTGATTGGATACTCTCCTCACCAAAAGGGCTACAAGTGCTATGACCCTTCCACAAAACGAACGTTTGTAAGCCTTGACGTCACCTTCTTTGAAAACATCCCATACTTCCAAAAAGACCTCTCTTCAGGGGGAGTTTATACATGAAGATCGTTTTTTTGGATTTTGATCTCTCTCCAACTGAATCTATCCCTCCTGATCCTATTCCACCACCTAGTTCTAATATGCCATCGATAGAAGGAAATTTAAATCCAGGGGGAGACATAGAAAAACAAAGTGATAAAGAGATATTAGTTTATTCAAGGAAGCCAAAATCAAGGCATAAGGAGAATCTAACATCTGAGGCACCAAGAGAGTCTGAACCGATGATAGCTCCGGATCCTCGTAAAGTATTTGAAGTCTCTGACATCAATTTACCCATTGATCTCAGAAAGCCAACTCAGTCGTGTACTCTTCATCCTATTTCAAAATTCATGTCTTATAATGCTCTATCTCCAAGATTTCGTGTTTTTACATCTCACCTTGACAGTACAAAAATTCCAAGAAATGTCCAGGAAGCCTTGGAAATTCCCAAATGGAGAGACGCAGTATTGGAGGAAATGCGAGCCTTGGAAAAAAATGAAACTTAGGAGGTGATTGACTTGCCAAAAGGGAAGAAACTAGTTGGATGCAAATGGGTTTTCAATTTGAAATATAAAGTTGATGGGACAATAGAACGGTACAAAGCTCGGTTAGTGGCAAAAGGGTACACTCAGACATATGGCATTGATTATACAGAAACGTTTGCACCAGTGGCAAAACTAAACACTGTTCGAATTCTTCTATCACTAGCAGCCAATTTGGATTGGCCACTTCAGTAGTTGGACATCAAAAATGCTTTTCTGAATGGAGAATTGGAAGAAGAAGTTTTCATGACGTTACCACCAGGTTTTTTCAAAATAAATGAAAAAAATCAGGTATGTAAACTCAAGAAGTCTTTATATGGACTCAAACAATCACCAAGGGTGTGGTTTGACAGATTTGCAAAAGTATTGAAAGGTCAAGGATATCGACAAGGGCAGTCGGATCACACTATGTTTCTCCAACAATTTAACAATCGGACTAAGACAATTTTGATTGTATATGTCGATGATATAATCCTAACCGGGGATAATGTAGTAGAGATGGAAAGGCTAAAGAAGAACTTAGCCACTGAATTCGAAGTAAAGGATATAGGACAAATGCAATATTTTTTGGGAATGGAAGTTGCGAGATCAAAAAGAGGAATTAGCGTCTCACAACGGAAATATATTCTTGATCTCCTAACTGAGACTGACATGCTAGGGTGTAAACCAATTGATACACCTGTAGATGTGGAGAAGAAAAATGAAAAGGTTGGAAGCTCAGTTGAAATAGATAGATACCAAAGACTAGTTGGTAAATTGATCTACCTGTCACATACTAGACCTGACATTGCATTTGCAGTGAGCTTGGTTAGCCATCATATGCATTCTCCAAAGGATAGCCATCTAAAAGCAGTCTACAAAATACTTAGATATCTTAAGGGTTCCTCAGGAAAAGGATTATTTTTCAAGAAAAGTGAAAGGAAAGGTGATGAAATATTCACAGATGCTGATTGGGCTGGCTCTATAGAAGATAGAAGGTCGACTACTGGGTATTGTACATTTGTATGGGGAAATCTCGTAACATAGAGAAGCAAGAAACAAAATGTAGTAGCCAGAAGTAGTGCAGAAGTATAATTTAGAGCTGTTGCACAAGGAATATGTAAAGGACTATGGCTAAAAATACTTCTTGTAGAGCTACATGTTCCCATAAGGTTTCCAATCAAGCTTTATTGTGATAATAAAGCAGCAATCAACATCTCACTTAATCCTGTTCAGCAAGATAGGACTGAACACGTTGAAATTGATAGACACTTCATAAAAGAAAATGTTGAGAAAGGAACGATTTGTATGACCTACGTCCCCACGCAAGAACAAACTGCAGATATCTTTACCAAGGGATTACCGAGACAAAAATTCGATCATTTCATATGCAAGTTGGATATGATCAATATTTACGATCCAACTTGAGGGGGAGTGTTGAAATCCCGGATGATTGAAGATGATTGACAGGGATTTTCCTTACCTAAAATAATGTTGTAATTATATTATTTGATTTATTGTCTTATTTAGGAGATTAGTGTTTGTTTCCTTTTTTTACTCCTTACATTGTATTATAAATAGGATTGCTATTTTGTACATAAATCAATGAAATACAAAATTTCACGTCAGATTTCACTTATAATTGCTTTTATATTCTGTAAAAAATCTATTCAAAGTTGCAACATAAGGGGCATTCTGGAATGTTTTCAAAACTATTTTCTGAAACACGTTTTAAGGGAAGTTTCTGAGACGTGTTTTGCGATTTTGGTCAGGTGGTCCCGCATCATAATAGCAGAGTATGCTCATGAATGTTATAATTTTAGATTCGTCTTTAGTGGTACTTTAGTTACTCTTCTTAAAAAACAATGACGAAAAATATGTGATGTGTTTTGTTTTCTGCATAATTTCTTTCCTTTTGTTGTTTTGACACTATTTGGATATGTAAAAATAATTCCTTTCTTTATTTTCCTACATGCCCACGCTATATCAGATAACAATTTGTTTTTTACCATGAAATGAAGCGAAGTATGTTCTTTGGAATCTTGCTATAATTATATCTTCATTATACACATTTTACTATGCTTCTGGTTTATACTGTAATTTTTGCTGCTTGACACAATTTTTACATAAATTTTGAAGAGTACTCAATGCTTCGTGCTGTTTTTTGAATTTTTTTTCTTCCACAGTATAAATATCAGGACAGGTTGCCTTTATTGTTGGATGTTGGTGGTGCAAAAGTTATTTATGTTGAAGCTCTAGAGCCTGAGAGCCAAGTATGTGAGTTGTAGTTCCCTTTTTGTCCTTTATCTTCCATGATTGTAACTTCTTCAGCAGAATCAAATCCATTACAGAATAATGCATACGACATGTACATACTTTCATATACAGTTTTTTAAAAAATTAACAAGTTGATCACATTTTCCATTGCATAACCAGCACTGAAGCAATGAGGAGTTTGAAATTTAATTGAAAACCTATGCAATTCGAAATTGACAACCTCCAAAATCTCCATGTTACCTATGACAAATACAAACTCTTTAGTGAGCATTCATTGGTTCTGGATCTGCTAAGATGCGATTTCTGGTTATCACCAAGTTGGTACAAAAAACATAGTGGGCACTCGAATAACTTGTGGTGACTCTTTTGTCTCCACCATCTAAGATGTACTTGCAAACAATTCCTTACTCAACCCAGCACTGATATTTCCTCTCTTAGAAACATAGGCATCAAATATGTTGAAATAAACTTCTTTTCCATCATTTAAAGAAATCTTAACTAAATCATTTTAACATGTGGTATGGCTGTGTGCTCCACAGCTTTATGATTTGCTGGGGCATTGGATTGGTTAGAGGTGAAATATGGAGTGGGGGTAGCATGGAAGGAAGGACAGAATCCAGCAGTGGAGAGGGAGGTGTGTCATCAAGCACTATAGAGTTACAGATGGGTTGGGTAGCGGCGGTTGTGTGTGGGAAGCAATGCTAGGGGTATGGGGACGATTATTTATGCAGTATATGACATCCATAACCCTTAAAAAAGTTTGGTATTTACTGGGCAGAATATTAGTTTACTTTAATGTGGAGTAACTTAAAGAGCCGCATATATCTCTTATCAATTGCCTAGGGTTATGGTTAATGTATTGTATTGTAATGATTGTAATTAATAACAAATATTGACATCTTATCAAAGTCATATATCGTTTAGAAACTTTTCTTGTTATTTATTTTACTTGATGTGCTCTTTGTAGGGCTTAGAAGGTGGAGACAACCATGTAGTGCGTGTAATCCCAACTGGATTGCCAAGTAGCACTGAGTGTTGTCGTAAATTTAGTTATCTGCCAAAGTTGAATGAGATGGATTTGATTTCAGCTGTTTTATCTGGACATCTGGATGATTCTATTATTGTATCAGCACCTGGTAAGATTGTGCACTGTTACTAATCAACCCTGATTTTTCTTTTCTTAGTAAAATGTAATTAGTTCACACTTGAGGGGTGCAATGCATGTACATAATGATAGACAAAGTATACATGTCAGCCGTATTAAAATCACTAGTGCCACTGACTATCCTAATGATTTGTGTTGTCAGAATCCACCAACATCATTAAATTTTAACCATGTAGATTAGGCTGGTCTAGCAATTGAGGCACTTCTAAGCACATAGGAGTTACGCTAAGCTGGTTTTGCTTCAACATTCCTCCCTTCCCCTAATAGGCCTGTTGGCCGATTAGAACCCACGACCTTTCTCTTGTTGTGACTATTGGGATTGTCGGCAACCAACACTTCTATTACATTCTACACGAATACACTATTCCAGCCTCATAAAAGAACCAATATCATTGCAAGAGATTGACTAATTAATGATCTGCAGGGTTATAACTACTGGCAGAAAAACAGGGCCTTGGTAGAACTGTTTGGCATACCATATCAACTTTTCATTCATCCATGGCCATATTCTCTTGCAATTTCATGTTATGCAAGAAATTCACTTTTTAGATCCCCCTTTCTTATCTTGAGGACATCTCAGATGGACTTCAGACTAAGGAAGATCATCTGGGATCTTAATACAATTGCCACTTTTAATAGCTCAGAAATTGGTCATGAGGAGAAAACAATTGATCTTGAAAATCCCCTGTTGATTTACAGTGGCGCTTCAGGTCTTCGAATAGGAGAGGGACATAATCTAGTTCTGATTTAAGAGTCTGCCAGATGAGTTCTTTTGAGTTGGTTCAGGCGACAGTTTGGTTATTGAAGAATCGGAAAAATAAAATAAAAAGAGTAGTAGATTGCTTTCCGTAGGCTGCAGAAACAACAAGAGTAAATGCTTGCATACATTTGCACGTGGACAAATTTCCTCAAGCATTATTGTGCTATGAGACATCCTGAATAACAAGTCTAATTCTGCAATGTGTAATCTGCTCTCTTGCTCAAAGAGGATTTCAGCCTGTCGTCAAGTAGCTAGGAACTTGTGAATTTTTCACAGGTGACAAAGAGAGAGCCAACACAATAGTTTCTGAATTTAATGGTTTCTATTGGTTGTCTTTATATTGCTAAACAAATATGTCAGGTGATAAGTTCAAAATGTTCCAATGATTTTGCGGTGTGAATATATCCATCTGGATGTTTATAAGATATGCCCAGTATTTGGAAATAGCAAATCTTCATTTAGTGATGTATCATACATGTGGGATTTTGCAGTGCTGGTCACCTCTTCGTGCTCCACCGACGAAACCGTGGTAGCAGATTCTGATGTCGACATGGAAACTGCCACATCGATTCATGCATCAGCTGCAGTTTGTGCAATGGAGTCTGCTGAACGTGAAAGCAAACAAGAGAGAAATATCCACAAGGCTGAATCTGCTGAAAATTATTGCAGAGCAGAAAGTATCGTCAACGTTATAGATTCTATTGATCAGGACAATAAAGGGGATACAGCTATGAGCACAATCAAAACCATTAAACATGATATTGATAGCCAAGGATTTATACCTTCTAATCGTGCTGCTCTTGAGCCCAATAGCTTTAATTGCACCGACAATAAAATGTCAAGAAAAGATAGTATTGACATATCTGAAAGTGGGAAGCTGGATATTATATACAGCCAAGACCTAATAGTGAGAGATTCTAAGTTACCAGCTCCTGGCCATTCTTCAACAAGTAGTGCGGTCACAAATTTCAAACTCTTCAGGAAGGTAACTGACTCCTAATTGTTAAAAGCTTGTAACCAAGACTTAGGTTGGATATATGAGCTTCATATGTCCTCTTATTATTCTAAACCACTTGATTTCTCCTATTCATGTTTTCTACTGTATGCTATGTTGGTTGTTTCTAATTTTACAAACCCGTCACTCATTGCACCCACACTCTCAAGCAAAAGAGCTTATAGCTGTTCGGTTCCCTAACTTTCAACAGGATTTGTCAGTTAATAACGAGGGAAAACCTTGGTCCTTTTACTTGTGTGAAGATAAGAACTGGTTTTATTGCTTGTTTGTTTCTTTTTTGCAGTTCCTTGTCTTCACATCTCTTGGCTTACGCGCAATTACGGTTGCTTGTTTAAAATCCATGATATTGCGATAAAATTGTCTCTTTTGATTCGTTGTCTTATATAATAATTAATTGATTCTTTATTCATGATGTGGTCACATCATGGCATATATATAGATGAGGACTCCGTCAGGCAATAGCTTCCACAACCTTATCCCATTTTCGAAGTATCCATACGAGTATGATCCACTTCTCTGCTCTTATTGTTGGTTCTGCTTGCTTTCTGGAATTCAAGTTGTGACATTTTGAATCATATTGTATTTTCCTTAGAGAATCTGACTATGGAAATGAGGATGTTGCTGAATCTGTAAAGGAAGAGAAAAAGCGGAAACAAATGGAAGCTATAGCAGAGGACTTGTTCAATACAGAGAAGGTGCATAAGTAACTTATAATATGCTCTAAAATTTTATGCAGATTTATGTGAAAAAATTCACCAAATGTAGTTGTACGATCCAGGGGAGACGACGTGCTGCTGGACCTCTATATGGAATTTTTGCTCGTCGCTAATTGAGGATTTGTCTGTAAATTCTTTCCCTCACATCGTTGAATTATTGCATTTTGTTGTCTTAAAATTTGCAATCCATGTCAGAGGTTGGGGTATTTTATTATACTGAAAAAGTTTCTCTATACTTCCTAAAAGTGTTTATACCTGTAGTAGACCTGTTTATCGAACAACTTTGTTTTGAAATTATCTGAGTTGATAATTATGTCCTGCATGTTAGGGCAACACATAAGATTTTATGATTTTGTAACCTTGTATCTGTCCATTTTAGCAGTAGTTGTTGGTTTGAGAGTGATCCTTTTGTTCTTGAGCATAAATGTGTACATTTGTTTTTTTTACCACAATGACTTGCATTCTGATCATAAAGCCAACGCCTTCTAAGAAGTATGTAACTTTCATTAGAATCACGTTGCACCAAATATTCTCCTTTTATGCACAACAGGAAATAAAAGAGGTAATATGATACCTTGTAAGGTAAGGTTGAGGACGTGGTTCAACAGGAAGCTGGGTAAATTCTGACTTTCTGAGACGACATTCACACAACTACCACCATCAACAATGAGTGTGCGCGCTAAAATTTCTCGGTTTAGTGGCGTCTGAAAAATATCTGTTCCTGCTCTTTCTTTCTTTGCTTTTGAAATTGCGCCAACAACGGAGAATAAAGAAGTGTCCACTTCATCTTCTTGCAAATATTCAGGATTGTATTCTTCTAAATCAAAAGAGTTGGAAGTTGTCCTCATCTTTATCCCCTTGTGAATCTCCTTCATGCTTTACCCTAATATGTAAATTCTTCTTTGGACGATGGAGTGGCATGTGGCATCTGTCCACACTTGAAGCAAATAATTTTCTTTAGTACTCACCATTTTAGAGGAAGGCAACCTAAATCCTACAGGATGTTTTAATTCCTGAGCTGGTGTTGCCTGTGCACTGGACTTTGGGCAATGCTCATCGTAGACATCGAATCAGCTACTGGAACCCCAACCCTTTCCTTTAGATCGAGACCATCCTTTTGACCTAAGAAGCACCGACACGGACATATGGTGTCAGACACGCAGACGTGAGATTTTTTGAAAAAGTTCCTACACAATACGTTGTCGACACACTGATTAAATATTAATTTCTTAACTTTTTTTAATTTAATAGTCTAAAGTTAATGATTCTTGAAATGTGGGTTGATGGAAACAAAGAAAAACTTGAAGGGGATGTTTTGAATTTCTCTTGCAATTTTCGTGGGCTCCTACGAGGAAGAAAGGGATTTAACTAATTTTGTAAGTTTTATTTTTTATTGGGGGGTAAAATGGTAAGGTAAAAAAATTAATCCACATAAAATTTTAGACGTTGCTTTGTTATAGGATAAAATTGCAAAAAAAAAACAAAAGTAAATTACCCCGTTTGGCCCTCATTATTTTTCATTAAATTATAATTTATTTTTCTCTCTTTTTTTAATCAATCACACCTTCTGTAATAAAATAATATTATACGTAAATCTAAAAATATTTTACAGTGCACTTTTCCTTAATGTTATTGGACCCAACAATTTGAATTGAAAATTCCACGTACTCTTCTTTGGTTTACTTTAGTTTTCTTCCTCAACAGTTACGTCTTTTCATTTCCTCTTTTCTTCCTTCTTCACAGTCATATTTCCTCTTCATTGTCACCGTCTGCATTTCTTCCACCCATGTTTTTCTCAACTGTTTTCTTACTGACATTTGCGTTTCTTCGTCTCCGACACTCCTCAAGGAACTCCGACACGAGTCGGAGACGTACCGTTGTACGATTCGTCGACGCCGGCAGCGTGTTCATGCTGCCGAGCTTTTGACTATCTTTTAATAAAATATCAAGATTGGAATGGTAAACTTACTAAATACTGTAGTCTTTCTTGTTTATTCTTGATATCAACTCCTTTTATTTCTTTAATTAACCTTTAATGACGGTTGTCACTGATTTCCACCGGACATTCAAATTGGGAGTGATGGAATATATGTATTATGGAATCTTAACGAAGATAAGGTGTGTTATTCTCATATTTGAGACAACTGCTTTTTCTATTACTGAAGAAATTAGATTGAATGGAACCAACTGCCTAGGTGCCCTTGTGCTACTAGTCCAGGGAGGAATTATTAACTTTTGGGGTGGAGATTATCAAATTTATCAAGTTTGATGTGGAAGGTGGATGGAAGTTAACTTTTTCGATCAATATATGGTGATGGAATGGGATTTTGGAAGGGAAATTTGAGCAACTTTCAGGTTTTCCGATGAGTACCATAGGGTAAATGCTCATGAACAGTGGAGAGGTGACAATGAATAGTTCAGAACGGCTGCACAGGATTCATCTTACAAAATATCCAGGAGTTGTTCTTGAAGTCGCTGGTTTTAACTACACAGGGTTCTGAGGAGGACAGACTGGTGTGGGAGGACTGCATAAGTTTTTTTTTTAACTGTTAAAAGTCCTTTAATGCCTTTCTATTGAGAGGTCCTCAATTAGGTTTTCTTTTTACTGATAACTCCTTTTAACTCTTTGCTCGTGGAAGGTCCTCATTTACCTCTCCGTGGAATGTTATGTGTTATAGAGCACCAAGGAGAGTGGCTTCTTCGTATGCCTGCTGACCTTAAAGCTGCTCTTGTCACCTTTCCTGTTTCTAAGAAGCCCAAGACTAGAGCATGTCATGAAAGCATCACACTGGGTGTGCGTGCTTCGATCATGTCTCTGGGGTACAGTTAAATGTTCCTGAATAGCAAGCAATACAATTTCACATCTACCTTCATACACCGGTATCAGTATAATAATGGGTCCAAAAAAAAAGGGCTCCAACTGAAGGTGTCAAGATTCAGAGTTTATATGAATGGTTGTGCACTGTAGATTGGCCTCTCTTGATCGTTATTAACTTAGAAGGATGAACGTGATCTATTTTATTTTCGTCCTTGCACAGCATAAATCTAATAAAATCGTAATTTTCATTATCTTGTTAACTTCATTCGAGTTTGCAGTAATAGTTGTGATTGAAGTTTGTCCTTGTGATTACTGATGGGATTATTACACGTTTCTCAAGGAGTTCGTTACTTCTACAGGTTTTAAGATTTGGAAATAGACATTGCAGGATGGAATGAAGTTGATGAGCATTTTGTTGTTATTTATATTAAGCAACCTTGTTTCTTATGTATTCAAATTGTGACAACATATTCTTGGAATGTAAACTCACCCTTGATGTAGATACATGGCTCTTATTCTTTTTAATTCAGTGGCAAAGGTTGATTAAATTGCTGGATGCAAACTTTAGACTGACAAGTGTGCTCATCTTTATCCTATTTTGTACTCTCTAACACAACCTACAATAAGAAGAAATTATTGTAAGTTTATTCAAACTACTATGTTTGCAATCTTTAAGTTTCTTGTAACCATTTCTTAAACGATTTCGAAGTGGTCTTTATATTAAGCCTCTGTATGAGCTTCATTGTCTAATTTTTTTCCATTTAAATTCATTTTCAAGCAGTATTTCGATAAAGTATTATTACACATAAAACATAAACTTTTTCACTTTATAAGTACTCATTTTTCAAAAAAAATCACTTTTTACAAAATCTATTTTAAATAAGATGAGCAAATGCGGGATAAATTATTTTTCATCGTGACTATTCACTTCTAACTATTCGTGTTTATTAATTAATTTCACCATTCACAGTTTGCCACGACTATTGTACAGAAAGAAAATGGCGAAGATCAAGTATATTTTAAAACTTGTGCGTGCACTCAGTTTAAAAATTTAAATTTGTTAGTGATGTAAAAAAATTTAATTAGTTATAATTATATTTATATTGTCAACATTTTATTCACAGGACAATATTTACCCTGAAAATCACGACACTTTAAACACTCATAAATAAATGGTGGGTGAGCTTAAACTATAAACATTTGAGATAATATATTGAATAATTTTTTTCTCACTCGTCGACATTGATTACGAGACACAAGAACTTGCTATAGAGCTTGTGGAAGTAGTGCACCACGATAACCTTAACTATTTGTCGAAGATGCCGATGGTGTATTCCTTCGTCCCTGTCTCGAACGCTATTCTTTTAACCAAATTACTCGAATGCTCTCATCTTGTTGAACTTAAAATCTTGAATTCCCATCCTCTCACGAGAAAAACCAGGCAAGTATTATCCTCCTTAGCTTGCTAAATTGCTTTCTTCAATACACCCAACAGTTTCATTAAATCCATCCTATACTAAGGTTGATATATATAACAAACAACAAACTTGAGCTGATAAAAATTCAAATATTTTTCTAGATATCAGTTTTCCCGTATTCATTAACTGAAAGTAGAAAACACAAACTATAGAACAGGGGTTGCAAAATCAAAGCAAGAATTTTCAGATCCTTACAAAAGGTACATGCTAGTTACAAAATGCAGAACTCCATTCACATCATCTTTTCTCTCAGAATGTTTCACAACTCTTCCCCACAAACCCCTGCGTTTCGGGTGTGTTTTCTAGCTTCCAACCTAAGCAATCTTAGACACTGTCATGTTACAAATCAATGTATAACTGGCTTCAGAGGATGAGCCCTCAGTTGTGACAAGTCCAAGCTTGCATCTAACTCTTCATCCAGTTCTCCAACAATGCTTCTGCAAGGTTAAGGTAAGAACAATCATATGCCGGCATGCGAAAACTATATTTATTGGTCAAACACAGCTTATAACGTAAATGATATGCGGATGGCAAAGAAAAAGTAGTACATGTTGTCGCCCCTTATGATGTAGAGGCCGAGCACAAGTTGCTGTACACCTTCCTACAGATCAAGACAGGGATCAATGGTATTACAAGAAAATCAATTCTATGGAACATCATCTCTGTGTTAATATTGAACTAAAATACATATAGGAACATAAAATTTATAACAAGATGAGAATTGATTATATTTAACTTGGAGGTACATACAACACAACTACAAAAGCAGGGGGTAGCAACCCATTCTCACCACCCGTGAAGCACGGACAATCAGGGA